GGACAAAGGAGCTAAAATGAAGTTAGGGTCCGACAACAAGTCAGTGATCAACATCGACAACAACCCGATGCAACATGATAGAACCAAACATGTGGAGATTCATAGGTTCTTCATCAATGAAAAGCTGAATAACGGACTATTGAAGCTAAGTCATGTAGACACTGGAGAGTAAGTGATTGACTGCCTCACCAAAGGACTTAGCTCATTAGATTTGTCTAGGTTATGTGACAAGATGGACTTAGTGAATATCTTCTACCCATCCCCATCTTGAGGGGGAATGTTGAGATTTGTATCTAATGTAGGGTCTTATTTGTAAATAGATGGAGTTTAAGAATTTATTTGTAAATGTTGTAACTCGTAAGACTCTTCCTAAACCTTTCATCAATGAAATGAAACGAAGTTTATTGAGAAAATACCCACATGCCTAAAAGTTAAAGGCAGCTCGATCTAAATCAATTCAAGAGGGGTCTAAGCAAAATTAGAATGTGTATCCATAAGAGATGATTAATTTAGATGTTGCTATGAAAAAAGTGAAAAACCCAAACTTTGTAACTTATATAAAACTCGAATGTCATATTGTCATCAATGCAGAACAGGTGTGCCCATCATCTTATTCCTATTTATAAAAACAGTACAATTGACAAAAAACACCCTTAGTAAAAAAAAAAATGTTTAACAACACCCTATGATTCATTACTAAAATGTATATACTATATTTTAAAACAAGTGATTTAAAGTATTTTTAAAGCTTGTTTAACAAATACCATTTAGTGTACAGTAAATTTAGAAAATAATCGAATTGGCTGTTTTAAAACCATTAAGTAATTAAGTCCACGCTTTGTGCATTGAGTCAACTTCAAAATAAATATATCAAGTCCAATGTGTTATACTTTTATGGAACTACAATCATGAACATTGATAAATCCTTGAGCCTTTCCGGTCAACTACAAACCTTACGCTTCAACTTAAATGGACAACTCCACACCCACCCAATCTTTTTGCAATAATGCCCCACTAATCTGTTTCATATATCAATGAGAAGGTAACTCATAGAGAGACATAAGAATTTATGTGAGATTATCTCCTTTTAGAGGATCCATACATCCCATAAATTATTCAAAAAGAAAATATTGGATGGCTGATCATACCTAGCAAAATTATAGCTCCATAATCGAATCTGTGTCTGATGCAACGACCTACAAAAAAGCAATAGTATTTTGTTTGGACTGTCACTAAAAATAATAAATAGAAGATGCAATGCAAAATAATATTGCTCATTTCTGCAGTACACAAACATGCTTTATTGTTTGACATACAAAAAAGAAATAGATAGAATTATTCCATCACAAATACTTTTTAAAAAATGACAGCATATGCAAGCAATCAAACATGAAAGAGATGTCAGAAAATACTTTCATGCTATCCTAATTTCCATACTTGGAATAAACCTGTGAGTTTCGAACAATATTCATAGAAAAAAAAACTAATTTCCCAAGGCACTCTCCTAATTGCAATGAAGTATTAACAAATTATTAAAATGAAATATATAGCATATAAAAATGTAAAGTAGAGGGAAATGCAGTTCATTGTCATTTTTCACTAAAAACTTTCACAAACTCTCACAAAAAATAACTTATAAATTAAATATACGTTGATATACCTGCAGCTTGGTTTAAGGCACGGAATGCTTGGTGACAATACCATTCACTCCCACTTAAGAGATTTTTTGACGACTTGTAAGTGTCATTAAATTTCTTTTTCAACATCACCTGAATGTCATTCCTAACACAAGTTGAAACGATTAGAAGGGCAAAATAAAAAGTGAAAACATTGGATGTTTTGATAAAAATGTCTAGAGAAAGCTTACTTGTTCGGAAATGGAATACCAACAATTACCTCAAGTTGTCAAGGATAACTTTAAAGAACCAATGTATATAAAATATAACGATTTGAAGATAATAATAATAATAAATGACTTTTCATAGGCTCAAAATATATTTCTCCAAGTACATGCATGCATGGGAATCTTTAATATTATGAGAAGGATACAACTACTCTTGCATTGTCATCCGAAAAGTCAATTCCTTCTGATACCTGCAAATGATGCAAACGGAGAATGATGCAAATTAGGCATGTTAGCATATAATTCATGAACGTGGAAAAAAAGAAAAAAAATACATTAATAGCCAAATTAAACATTACACGATAAAGCTTTGTATTATTTCCTGTTTTCTTGAAGTATGGCGCATTACACTTGAGGGGATAAAAATGAGAACAAATATTCAACAAATAAACCAAATTAAAGTTAAAGGTCATATCCCAATTCACTTGCATGTGCCTTCCTGCATTTGAAACTGACATGATTTTGAAGGTGACGAGGTGAGTGCATGTACCTTTATTCAATTAAAAATAGATTTTTTGAATGTCATTGACAAGTGATGAGAATGTTTAACAATTTATCTATAATACATTTGCTTTTACTTCTTCACTTTTTATAAGTTAATTTTATTATATCTATGAAAATGAAACAGGAATTGATAACTTTGAGAGCAAAGAAGCAGAGTCGACCCGAATTACTCTCAACTTAAGCTTGAACTTAATTAAGCATATTCGTGATAGTGGTGTCATTGACTCAATGTGCAATCATTTGTTCCAATTATCTCCAGTTAGTTAATAGATTCAAATAAAAAAAGTGCACATTGAAATACTCTTCCTCCACTCCTCAGGCATCTTTTTAGTTGATGTGTCATAACCTAAGTGATTCAATGCATGTTCATGATTATTAACACCACTCAATGAGTCCAACTAAGTGATTCAATGCATGTTCGTGATTATTAATTTAATTTTTGTTGTGACCTATTTTAAGTAGGAGAGTTAATTAAAATCTACTGCATATGATATTATATCATTTTAATTTTGTTTACATATATGCCACACAATTCCCATGAATTTGAAAATGAAAATTATCTAATATGCATCTAGATTCATGCCTGGTCGTGTAGATTGTTTGGTGGCATATCAATAGAAAAGACCCTAGATCCCTCGGCACTCTAGACATGTATTAACTTTAGTAATTTCAGACAATACAATGAAAGGCTTGCTGTTCTCAGTAATCTACAAATGAATCAAGAAATCTATGGCAAGTATTAGCATATAGCCTCAATAAAAAAAGAACCCCGCACATTTTCAAAGGTGAATATAAAATAAGAAAAGCATCACACTATAGAGCATTGGCAACCAAAAAAACAGACGATCTAAAAACATTGTTAAAATTCAATATTCAAAGGATAAAATGGATACATGCACATTAAATTACAGTAAAAATATTTGGATTGCTTGCCTTTCCTCGACAAACAGCAAGAAAAGCAGCTCCTTTATTTAGATTTTGGTGAGATTCCTTAAAACTTGAATGTTTAAGCATCCGCTTTAAACCAAGCCTATTTTTTCCTGTAAAAGCTTTACTTTTTCCAGAAATCACATCATAGTAACCTCTCAGAACTGGCTCAAACTCATTGGTACTTCCTTTTGGCTCTGCAACAAACAGAATAACTGGATTAAAATTGTTGATAACCACCATTCTTTTCTGTCTAAGATATAAGATACAAACTAACTCCTGTTGCTTAGCATATGCTGTCAGTAACTGGCATACATAATTGAAACCATAGCAAGCAATTTTTTGTCCATTAGAGGTTCTTAAATCCATGTGGATGGCTCCTTAAAACAGATAAATAAAAATTACTTTGTGTAGCAAAATCTCACCAATGAAGATCTCTTTTTGTGCATTCAACCTAGACCATTGGCCTGTCTTATGCCAACGAGCATGTAGCTTCTCTAACAGTTTATAACTAGGGAAGAAAACAAGGGCACCTCCTGGTACAATCTTACAAATTTCCTCCAATGTTGCTCCCAGTGAATCCTGGATAAGCAGTGTTTAATCACCAAATAAAATTGGCATAACTAATGCAAGTAAACACTGAATTTATGTTGAATGGACAACAAACCTGGAAAGCATAACTATCAGCAGATCTATAGCTAGCATTTAACTGAATGTTACCCACACCAGAAGAGACTACTGCTGCCCAAAGCTGAAAAGAATAAGCGTTGAGAACAATAATCCAAATAAAGATTCAAAGACGCATAAGAATTTTTTACATACCTGAGACTCTGCATTAATTACATGTGGTGCTTCCATGCAAGTGTCGAACCTTACACCAAGCTCAGATGAAAAAGAATTTAAAGGAGAGAGTGTTCTGTATAACCACACATCTCTAAGTAAAAACATTGATACAAGTAAAGAAAGCCAAGGATCCGCGACAAAAACATAATTGAAATAGATTATTTATATAAATTCTAATGGTAGACATGGCAAAGCTATCAGAGTGCCAATTTACACGTTACTTCAGATTCCCAAAAAGGTTAGTAAATACAGATCATGAATTGTTAATGGTTTTCGTTTCCAAACTGTCGATAATGATATCACAACCCTAATAGTAAGGCTTATAAGGTCTCATAAAGCAAGACATGAAGAGAATATCAAAGAATAAAGAGAATAGTAAAGCGTATTTATGTTGCGAGACAAATATTTCTATTGTTAAAACTTGCTATTTTCATGCCAAACAAATATTCTAACAAGCTAAGATCTTTAATTTTCAATTCTTTAGTAAGTACACATTTCAACTTATTTATATCTTCTCCGTGATCCCCTATCAAGATGATGCCATTAGCATATATAATCAATACATAATTTTTTCCATCAAATGATTTCAAAGTAAATCAATTGTGGTCATATTACCCTTAAGAGTACCCATGCCTTTTTATCAACGTGGTGAATCTGTCAAACAACATTCTTGACTATTGTTTGAAGCCATAATATGAGAGTCATTTTTTCTTATTCTATTAGAATAAATAAAACATATATGGAAGCAACATTGCCCATAAAGAGGGAACTATAGGAAAGTGATAGGCATTAATTAATTACAATCAATTCAGAATATTAAAATCACTACACATAAGAAAAAAGCGGTTGGCCAACAGATTATGGAAGTAAGGAGGATGGTGAATCGCAAAAAATGGCTGATTGCATGGCAGTAAGTATTACATCCAACAGAAACAGTGCGTGCAAAGCAAACGGAGCTAGCTGAAAGGTCATATGTGCAAATTGCAGAAGTGGAACTGGATCAGAACTTTCACAAGAAGTTTATGGGACCAGTGAAGTCAGATATTTGTTCAACTAACCAAATAAATATACAAACAACAGGACACAATCGTTATATAATCTTGAATTCAACGGGGCAGTACAAACCTGCAATCACCTAAATATGAAAAACTAAGAAATAGCCTGAGAGAATGATACCAGATGAGGGATGTTGGGTCGAGGCTAGTTGAAGGTGTGCGGGTCAAGATTGTATGTGATCCATGTCATGTGTGGGATAGTCGAGTGCCACGGGAAAATGTGTTAGACATAACCAATCGCACAAGTGGACCTACCATGCATGGTAGGGAGCACAGAGCTAGGTGGTATGCAAAAGGGAGATAGGAAAGCTCCGGGTGAGGGTGGACGGGGACAAACGCGCAATAGCCAACCTAGTGCACAAGGTCGGGTAGCTAGTTAATGTTTAAAAAAATGAATATATGCAACTTATCTAGTGCTTTTAAAAGAATTTGATTTATTTTAAAAAACAAAAAAAATATATCACACATGTTCCAAGAGGTCGGGTAGCTAGTTAATGTTTAAAAAAATGAATGTATGCAAGTTATCTAGTGCTTTTAAAAGAATTTGATTTATTTCAAAAAACAAAACAAAAATTTATCACACATGTTCCAACCAAATTTTCTTTTGAAAAAGGTGCTGCTGGAAAGACCCTAATTGCCTACCAATTGAGCCAGCTCCACAGTGGTGTCAATAAGGCTTTATTTTTTCAATAAATAAGTCATAGTGAGTTTCCTGTTCCATTGTTATTGTAATTGAACTTTTCTTATTAAGTGACTTGGAACCTAGTTGAAAACACATCACAGCTTGAGCTCGCAATATAAGAAAGGCAAAGAAACCACTAATAGTTACAAGACTATCCTTTAGGTGTTAGTATTTCTAAAGTTTCTTGTGATTGCGTGTGTAATTTATCTGAAGCTTGTCTTTTGTTTCTTGAACTTTAGAGTATAACTTATTCACCATTCTTCCTAGTCCCATTCTTTTAGCCTACAGAGTGAATCTCTTATTGAAATGAAATAGACAAAAATAATTAATTAAGGGGGTAAAAGGATAAATAATCTATAACTCTGAATTACCGAGTGCATCAGAGCTTATTTGGACTTCATTTTTATAGAGAATCATGGATACCCACCCTGATGTCAAAATCACGGAGAGAGACAAATCTGCAATCTCTTTAAACACGACAGCAGGGTTTAAGCACCACAAGCTTAGAGAGATTGTCCAGTCACTGGCAGCATTACCTGAAAAGTACACTTTTAATATTTGAAAGAGACAATATACTGCAGGCATGATGTTCTAAGAAATAAAATGTAAACCAAATCTGAATAAAAAAAATGAATGAAGAAACTCTTAAAAAATAAAGAGCACCAATCAGATAACACCAAAGAAATTCTTGTAACGCTGAACTATACAATGAGAATTAAAGAAGACGCCATTACTGATTATCAAACCGCCTAAACCAGAAAATATTTGTTGACACCGTATTTACAGACACTGTATAATTTCAAAAATAAAATAGCCGATTAAAAGGGTTGAGGACAAACAATTATAAGTGCAAAATGTTTGGTTAAAACGTCAATTTGTTTTTAGATATAATCTGAATCTTTCTCTTGTTAGTTGTGGAGTCTAATTGTAGCACCCACGAGCAGCAGGAAGACTGGCTTCCACGTATTCAGTGCATCCGGAACCGGGCTATGAGCGCTTAAGCTCCCATTGAGTGTTCCCAGACCGAGAAGGTGGAAGTACTGCTCCCAAAGTGGGTGCCTAGGTGCCCATTTCTGGCAGTGGGGCACCTATTTCCAAAGAACTGGGCACCCAGGTGCCCAAAAGCAGTTTTCACGAGAAATGTTACTTATGCCACAATTTCGAGCTGCGTATGTGTGGACTTGGAGTGTAACTCTTCCTGTTTGTTCATCAACAAAATCCCGGTGAATGTGAGAAGTGTTGGTGAGAAAGATTCTATGTTTTTCGGCGTGCATTTTTTGCGTTGAATCAGTAAGAAGAGTGTGGACTGGTACACTGTGAGTTTCTTCGTGTGAGTGTGGAGAAGAAACATGTATGAATCCTTTGTAAAACTCACTGAAACTCATAGTAAAATTTGTGATGGCATGAATCCATGATTTTTTTTCTCTTTCTCGGGACTTTACACCAAAAATTTGTGTTCTTTTCTAGTTGTTTTTTTATTGTGCCTATGAATTAAACTTATTGTTTCGGTTTTCTCGAATCCTATGATCACATTCCACTGTGACATTGAGAATTGTTTGGAGGATTCTCAACAAAAATTTTTATCAAAGCTATGTTTGATTCTAGCGAGAGCAATGGCCGAAGAATTAAGATTCAATGTGAAAAAGTTCAAAGGTACGAACTTCACTTTCTAGAAGATGCACGTGAAGGATTTGTTTTATCAGAAAAAATTGTATTTGTCACTACAAGGAATCACAAAGAAGCCTAAGTCTATGCCTATAAAGGAATAAGAAGTGTTGGATCGAACGGCATTGAGTTTGATCAGGTTAACACTTTTCTCATCCATTGCGTTCAGCATTGTGAATGAGGAAAACTACGACGAATCTCATGGCAGCACTAGTTAAGATGCACGAAAAACCTTCTGCTTCTAATAAGGTTTTTGTCATGAAGAAATTATGCAACATGAAGATGATTGAAGGCAATTCGGTGGCAGAACATCTCAATAACTTCAACATTGTGACGAGCCAGTTGTGTTCTATGGGATCAATTTTGATGATAAGGTCAGAGCACTGGTGATATTATCCTTTTTGTCAGAAAGTTGGGATAGTTTGGTAACGACGGTGAATAATTCCTCAGAAACTTCGAATTTGAACTCCGATAATATTGTGGGTCTGATGCTAAAAGGAGAAGTTCGCAAAAAAGCAGCGAATGATGAATCTTCAGCTTCTGCATTGAATACAGATAACAGATGAATGAATCTGGGCAGAAATACAGGCAAAGGCGGATCCAAGTCCAACAAAGGAAAGTTTAAGTCAAGTCGAGGAGAATGTTGGAACTGTAGTAAGAATGGGCATTTCAAGACGAACTGCAAAGCTCCAAGGAAAGTTAGTAGTAGAGGACAAATTAGTAGTTTCTCTACTGATAGCTTCACAGGTGAAATCCAAAATGACTCTGGTATTATCCCTAGTCAGCATTGACGCCTAGATAGTGGGTTTAGCTGTCTCTTTTCATACTTGTCCCAATAAAGAGATATTCAAAAACTACACTTACAGTGATCTAGGAAAAATTTATTTCTGAGATAACAACTGCAGTATAATAGAAAAGGGTGATGTTGATATCAATTTGTCAAATGGAACAGTATGAAAGCTTACTGATATGAGACATATTCCAAGTTTGAAGAGAAATCTTATCTCTGTAAGCCAGCGGGTAAAGTCAAGATTCGTGACAACTTTCACAGGTGATTTGTGGAATGTGACCAGGGGGCATTAGTGATGCCTCGGGACAACATTGAAGGTGCCCTTTTATTTGATCAATGAAATAGCTGATTTCATTGAAGTGGTTGGAACCAGGGTGGATGCAGGTCTATCGCACCGTAGAATTAGCCATATGACCGAGAAAGGTAAGAAGTCTCTACTTTCAAAGAATAAGCTTCAGAGTTTGAAATCAGCTGATCTGGATTTATGTGAAGAAAGTGTTTATGGCAAGCAAAATAATGTTTCTTTCTTCAAGAGCGAGTCAGTGGTGAAGTCAAAGAAACTGAAGTTAGTGCATATTGATATATGGGGTCCTACTCCAGTTTAGTCCATTTGAGATTCTTGTTATTTTGTCACATTCAGTGATGATCGCACGAGATATGTATTGGTTTATTTCTTAAAATAGAAATCCAATGTATTTGAAGTCTTTAAGAAATAGAAGGTTATAGTAGAAAATAAGATATACTTGAAGTTGAAGTTTCTCAGATCAAAAAATGGAGATGAGAACCGTGATCAAAAGATCAGGAATTTTTTGTGCTACAGACGGGGTCAGCCATGAGTTTGTTGTCCAAAGGACACTGCAGCAAAATGGTGTGGTTAAGCGCATGAAGAGAACAATCACGAAGCGTGATAAAAGTATGAGGTTGCATGCAGGCTTGCCGAAACAGTTTTGGGCTGAAGCAGTTAACACTGCAATTTATTTGATTAATTGTAGTTCATTAGTACCTTTAGAGGAAGGCTTACCTGAAGAAGCTTGAAGTGACAAAAAAGTATGTCAATTTCATTTAAGTGTATTTTGGTGTTTTGCACATGTGCATATTGATACAAGTTCTAGAAGCAAGCTTGACTCAAAATCTGTCAATTGGACCTTCATTAGATATGGCGCAGATGAGTTTGAGTACTAGTTATGGGATTATCATAATCAAAAATTCATCAGGAGCATGGGCATCACTTTTAATGAGATGGAGATGTACAATGACGGATAGAACTCAAGACAGCTCATCAGCTACTTCTGAAGAATCCAGATATGTGAAGATAGATGGTACTGGTGATCGAGAGAATGGAGAAAGAATAAATGTTCAACCAGAAGGAGCATGTCGACCGTTAATTTTTTTGAAAATATGAAAAGGGATGATTTTTTTAAAATATGAAAATAGTTTTAATATAAATGATTTTTTTAAAGTAACATTTTAATTAAAAATAGATAAGACCAAACGAGTCTCACATATTAAATAGATTAGACGGTTGAATGTGATACCACAAGTAATACACAATCCCGAATGATAAGCATATCACTTAACTGTACGCTCAACCACCTAAACTAAGAAGTTTGTGATATTCGTTTGGTCTACAAAATCTATTATTTATGGCCGGCAAGTTCCCCAACCTAATATAAATATTAGATAAAGTTTATTTTACATGGATTCCAAGTTCTCTATATAGGCAGGCTCCTATAGTTAATTACATCTTAAATGACCTGGGTCGCTTAAAAAAACTCTCGATTAAGATTAGTGGTTTTACCTTCCAGATTTCAAAGTTTAGGTTTTCAAGATTGGACACGGGAAAATCAAACGGGAGTGGCTCAAATAGGAACAATCATTTTAAGGAATTCAAAAGAATGAAGAGCGTGAGATATCACGGATCCAAGGGAAACCCTGGTGATTTCTCAAATATCTTATTGTTTGTCTTTATGTCTTTAAAATGATGTTATCCAATGTTTAATCCTGCAACTTACTTTAGAACTTAGGACTTACATTTGCATGATATCTGATCGTGCAAATGACCTAAAAAGGTAAGAGGATTTACACCGTACCGTACAATAAATCTTGGAATCTTAAAAGTGTTAGGACATATAATTGAACAACAAAGTTGTGCAAAAGCCTGAAGATAAGGTGAGGATTTACGTTGCGCTAAGAAAGCTACCTCGAAATCCTATGGATTGTTATTTAAACTAAGAAAAATGTTTAGTTGACATGAACTTGTTTTGGTGTTTCAGATCCACCTCTAAGTCGTTCTTCTGTGTGTCCTCGTCGTGCTGCCCGTGGTGTTCGCTCCAAGCTCTCCGTCGTAGCGCATTCAGATTTGATGTTAATTTTAAGGGTATATGCAATTGTTTAGTCAACATTTTGCTTTCGGGTACCTCCTATAAAACCAACTATTGGTCTCATATTCTAAGGTATAGTGTGTAAAAGTAGCAGTAGCAGGTAAAAGTATAGTAACAGAATCTTTAAGAAATGAACTAGCATGAATTACATTAACAAAAGAAATACCACTTAGAAAACTCAATAAAGAGCGGCAAATGAGCTATGACAAAAGAAAATTCGATAAAATCGACAGATGATTTCAGACATACAAAAGGAAGTTGTATCAATTTTGTAATAAAAATATTTTTTATAAATAATGTATCTGTTTTTATCATGTTCTGTTATTATCAGTTTTGAAAAGTTATGATTGTCCACGAGTCGATCACGCCGTCGTGCATAGAACCGCCAACAACCTAAGAAGGTATGGGTCCCCCGCTAGTTTTGTGTCGGTGAATGATATTGTCATCCTACAGTTTATCATATCTCAGGATTGGGTCCTGATGTCGTAAGATGGAATATCATTCTGTTCTACCACCAGCGTGTCTTTGTCATCATCGCCCTAAGCCCCTAAAAAAACAAAACCGACATACTTGCGACCTTGCTTGATGGTTTCATATATAGCAAAAGGCTAATATGGGCACTTATGTGTCAGACATAAGCACCGAAAATCGAAACAAGAAACAAGGAAAAGAAAGAATAAAAATGGGGATAAGAGAGAGG